ACAATTTGATATCCACATTTTAGCAGAAATTTGTTAGATCTCAAAGGGTCTTTTGGATTTTTTTTTAAGTTTCTCTTTCTCTGTCCTTTACTGCCCGCCTAGAAATAAAAGTTTAAAATCTATTCTCCTTCCCTGTCTATCCCTGCAATCCAAACCTCTAGTAGTAACACTATTAACAGTTCCTTCCATTCTACCTCCCTCCCCTCCTTTCTTCCTTCCTCTCCCTCTTCTTTTCTCACTCCCTCTTCTGTTCTCTTTTAATACTCACCGTACTATTGATATTCACCACACTATTTATCTTTTTAGTATACTTTTTTACAGCCAGTGACTTTCCATATCAGCTATAAATATATGCTCATTTTTTTAAAGATGAGTATATAATATTTCATTGTATGAGTTTTGTTGACTTTAAACAAATAGGCAGGTATTTCTCTAGCAAATGGTTTTATTGAGACTAGAAAGAATTGAATCTGAAACAAGCAACCATGGCAGTCTGTGTGCAAGTCTGCTAAAATGAAGGAGAAGAAACTTTTATAGAAGGAAAGTAGAAGTTGGGAGGGCTATTACCAACAAAAAAAGTTCTTCCTTTTGTGTTTCAAGATCAGTGTAGGGTGTGAAATCTCTCCCTTCTGGCCTTCTTGTTACAGAACCCCACCAGTGTTGTTCTGGAACAGTTGTAGGGTTCGATTGCTCACCAGCAAGAAGCATGACTCCCAGTATAAGAGTTTGATGAGAAAGGAAAGGGGTTGCTTGTTTAAAGGTTATACATATTTAAAATAATGGCAGATTTCTGCTGTTAAGTCTCATTCCCTTTAAAAACCACCCCAAAACACATAGCCCTGCCTCCCTTTGCCAAACCAGGCCAGTTTCAGAATCTTCCAGGCAGAGGTACCTTCTTTCAGAGAAGCCAAAGTCTGCAGCTCAGCATTCCCAGCTCTAAGCATCTCTCACAAGTATTGTGTGGCTAGGCAGGTCCCTGCAGCTCCATCAGCTCTGCCTCTGTCTTCTCCAAGCAGACTGTAATCTGGATAGTTGGGCAGGTCCCCTGCTCCAAAGCCACACAGCTTAGTCACTGACATCCCTGAGTTTGCCCAGATCTCTACACCCTGGCCCATGCAGCTGACTCCTTAACCGGGGGCAAACTCCATAGGTGGGCCAACAGGGAGTCCAGAGGGTGGAGCTATTGTATTTCCCCAGGCTAATGCCATTCAGAGAGGAGTGTTCCACTCAAGGAAGATGGCCTCTGCAGTATGGGGAATGGCTATTCACAGGGATCCTGATTGTTGTCCCTTCAGCTCTCTCCCAGAGCCACAAATCCCAGTCCCTCCATATGGACTTTAGTGTACTCTGACCTTTCTCCACTAGAGCCCAGCATAAGTGTGAACTAGATTTTATGCATTGGCCCTTTAGGAGGTTGCCTGCATTTCTAGCAGTCTCCTGCCTCTCCCTGGGGCACAGAATCCCCACTGATTTTCACAGCAAAGTGAGTGCCTCTTCTCAGCTCTGGTGCTATGGACTGTGTAGCCTGCCTTGGAGTTGAGACTCCCCCACTTCTCAGGGGGGCCCCCACAGCTGAATTTCCCTCCTGAACCTCAGCTGCCACCCATGGAAATAGGGCCAGCCCTTTTCATGTTTCAGCCCTTCCTACCAGTCTCACTGTACTTCTATAAATCTTTGGTTGTAAGACTTCTCTTCAGCTAGTCTTCCATTGTTTATTCAGGTTGATTATTCTATAATTAGTTGTAATTCCAGTTCTTGGTAGGAGGTGAGTCTGCCTTCCACCTACTCGGCTGCCATCTTAGATCCTAAATTCTGTTCCCTTTCCTCTTTAGTTTTAAATAAAGAAAAGATTGGGCCTATGTGTCCATATCTTTATGGTCTGTTCCTTGTTACTTGTTTCCTATGAACCAATAATACATGAATGAAAACACAACACAAATAAAAATTTTCAGACATACCATCTAAACTTCCCTATAGGAAAGAAAATTATAACTTAATCTACAAGAACAAGGAAATAGTTTTCCTAAAACATACCTCCTTAACAATTATAAATAATAGATCATAGGATTTCAGCCTGGAATTTCTTTATGTGGTTTATTTAATTAATTTAGTTCTTCATTGAATCTGTATTTAAATATTCATTTAAATCTGCATACCTAAAAGGATCTTCCAAGGGAGTCTCTTCTAGAAAAAAGAGGCCACATATTCTAAAGATAACCCAATGTCTCTGTCCCAAAAGGTACAAGCTACTTTTTAGCTTTTAAAACTGGAAAACTTTCCAGTTTCAAAAAATTCTCAATTAGCAGGTATCTAGGGTATAGAGTTCTTGCATAAAAGCTATCAAGCAACAACAGCAAAAAACAACCTCATAGACACAGACAACAGTATGATGATTACCAGAGGGAAAGTGGGGTTGAGGGAGGGAGAAGGGGATATAGAAGGGATGATAAATAAATGGTGATGGAAGGAAGACTTGACTTGGAGTGGCGAAAACACAATACAGTATACAGATGATGTATTATAGAATTGTACACCTGAACTTTATATAATATTAGTAACTGATATTAGCCCAATAAATTCAATTTTAGAAAAACAGCCAAGTACTTGGAATATATTTGGTTTTTTACTGTTCAGTGTTATAGCAGTAAATTAATTTGATATTCAAAACAATTGAAGCTTGAATCATATGTGTCAGGATTATTATTTAATTGCTCTTAATAGTTTTATAGACTAAGGTGTTAAGAAAACCTAACATTATTCTTCTAAGTAAAAGTGATTTATTATTTTGAAAACCATTTATAAAGAGTACCCATAAAGTTAATGTATTCTATTTAACTCTTCTTATGTATAATAGTTACCTAGATAGTTGTACTCTTGTAGTCAAGGCTTTGGTTCTTAATAGGTGATGTAGCCTTAATGGTTCCATTTTAACAAAGTCTGTTGCAGTTTTAGCCAAGAGCTTTGAACCACCTATCGAGTATGGTTATTTCTTTGTACCTAAATTACTTGACATATGTTATTGCTTTTATAATTGAATGTTATGCTATTTAAAATTACTTGCAAAATACTGAAATCTAAGTACATTTTTATTGAACTTACTGATGTGACATTGGCTAATAAAATTATATAAGTTTCAGGTACACAATTGTACAGTACATTATTGGTATACCGTGTTGTGTGTTTACCCACTCCAAGAAGTCTCCTTCCATCACCATTTATCCCTCCTTTACATTCTTCTACTTCCGCCTACCCCCTTTCTCTCTGGCAATCACCCTACTGTTCTCTGTGTCCATGAGTCTTTTTCTTTGCTTAATCCCTTCACCCTTCTCACCCAGTCTCCAACCCCCTCCCCTCTGAAATCTGTCAGACTGTTTTCTGTTTGTATGAATCTGTCAGTCTCCACGTTGATAGTTTATTTTGTTCATTAGATCCTATATATAACTGAAATCATATTGGACTTGTTTTTCTCTCTGACTGGCTTATTTCTCTTAGCATAATACTCTCTAGGTCCATCTATGCTGTGGCAAAGGGTATGATCTGTTTTACAGCTGAGCAGTATTCCATTATGTAAGTGTACCATAGCTTTTCTGTATCCACTCATCTACTGATGGACAGACACTAGGGCTGCTTCCAGATCTTGGCTATTGTAAATAACACTACAATGAACATAGGGGTGGATACATTCCTTCAAGTTAGTGTTTCAGGTTTCTTTTGATATATTCCCAGATGTGGAATTGCTGAGTCATAAGGCAGTTCCATTTTTAATTTTTTGAGGTAAATCCATACTGCTTTCCACACTGGTTGCACAGTCTGCCTTCCCACCAACAGTGCATGAAGGTTCCCTTTTCTCCACATCCTGAATAACATTTGCTGTTTCTTGATTTATTGAAGATAGCCATTCTGACAGGAATGAGGTTATATCTTATTGTGATTTTAATTTGTATTTTTCTGATTATTAAACTAAGACTTCCCGGCTGGGGAACTATTCTTTCTATTGAAGATGTCATCTTTTTTTTTAAGTTGATACTTAATATCTTACTAGTTTAGTTCTTAAAGACAATCATAATTTTTATGTTATTAGGAAGGTGTGATAAGATAACTGGGAATAGTTTAGAATTTTCCCAACTTAATAAACTAGTACATTCATAACTTGCAAAATTGGCTTTCCATTCTTCCTCAGCTGCCTAGATGCTTCAGTAAATGTCCAATTCCTTAAATTCTTAAAGGTATAAGCCACATAGTTGAAATAAGCTGCTTATATCTGTTTCTATGAAAGACTGCCTCTCTGTCAAGCTCCCAAACTATGTATTGTGCCATTGGTACATGAAGAGAAAAATCTCAGAAAGGAAGAAACTTGAGGGGAAGGGCAAAAAAAGTCTACATACGTACCCTTAAGTCCTTGGCCATCTCCTAAACTGCACATGCACAGGATGAGACCTTTATAAAGATTCATGTGGTAACTAATTTTAAAATGGGTACAGCATAGAGATGGGGCAGTACAGTGTACGTATGACACAACCAAGTGGAAAGACACCAGACACCTGGGCCTCAGACATCACACTAATTTTGCAACCAGTTAAATGTTAAGTTGAACAGATAATTTAACCACCATGTGCTTACTTCTCCTCTAAAATGTACATGATTTAGAGCTTATTCTACTTTAAAATAATGTGACTTTGTAGTATAAAGGTAAAGCATATGCTCTTCCGTTCTCTTAAGAGTAGAAATTATAAACAATAAGATAAATTTTTGCTTGAAACCAATATAGTTAATATTTTAAAGTAGTGGTTATTTTGTCTTTAAATTCAATGAAAATAATATAATTTTTCCAATGAATTTTAAGGGTTATCATATCTTGTACATTAATTGTAATTCAATTGACTTTACATTGGAAAATTATTTGAATAATAATACTCTTCAATAAAATATTTGGCATTTTATTTTAAAATATTTTAGCTTTTATATTTATCTACCTACTTATTTATCTATTTTTATTTTAGATGGGTCTAGGAAAGACAATCCAGGCAATTGCCATCGCTTACTTCTATAAGGAGGAATGGCCTCTTTTAATAGTGGTCCCTTCATCTCTGAGGTACCCTTGGACAGAAGAAATAGAGAAATGGATCCCAGAATTAGGTCCAGATGAAATCAGTGTCATACAGAATAAAATTGATGTTGGGTAAGAACAACTTTTTAATCTTTTGGGGGACAAAAGCGCCAAACATTCATATATACCAAGTAAGTCTCTATATTAAGTAGATTTATTCTGGGCTTAAAATGCAGTTGTCTTTATGAAGAAAACCAACAACAAAAAGCATGATTGCTATGTCGGTACTGGCTGTTTAGGAGCTCTTTCGTTTTTATTAAAAGGTAGAGTACTGCAGAAGACTGACTCTGTCCTTTATTTTCACTAGTGATACAGAAAATGCAAAGTGACATGGTTTATTTTTAAGGCATTTACTTGTCTAATTATGTAATTCTACATACTGACTAGGATCATAGCACTGTACATACAAAAGTGAATAAGATATATCTCCTGCCCTCACCAATCTTACGATATAGTAATGGAAATAAATATGTAAATGAATAAAGTACAGTATGATAAAGAATAGTATAGATGTATGAATTACAGAGGTAGTTTAAAATATTAGGGTCACTTTAGCCCAGTGTTTCTCTGCACAAGATGGTGCTTTGTCTTTTCCCCATACTTCAGCATCCTGGGGCCAGAGGCATTTTTGTTGTCATGGTGACAGGGACTCTACTGTCCATGAATGAGAGGGACCAGGACTGTGAATTGCTTTGGAGGGTACTGGGCAACCCTGCAATAGTAAGTATTGTCCTGCTCAAAATCACAGTAGCACCTGGCTTTAAGAACTCTGCTATCCTGTTCGTGGGAAGGCTTCATGGAATAATCAACAAATATTTGAGTATCCAACTTTATTCATGATCATAGGTGCATGGAAGCAAATGGTCTCAGAAAATAATGTTCTTATCCTACCAAAATATGGCTTGCTGGATGTCAGAATCTTCCAAAACCCATTTATGAAAAAATTGGATTAATTAGCCAAATTTTAAATTTTAGATCCTTGTTTATTATATCTGAAGACTGTAAAGTCTTAAGAGAAATTGGGTTTCATTAGTGGTACCATCTCCTTTTATTTTTCCTCTTTTTTTCTTTGTATTTCTTACCAAAAAGTTTTATTGTTTATGATAAAATAATTACTGAAATATTTTTTAAAGTACATGAATTTTCTTTTCTAGGAGAATATCTACCAGCAAAGTGACAGTTCTGGGTTATGGTCTCTTAACAACAGATGCAGAGGCTTTGATAGACACACTGAATAATCAGAACTTCAATGTGGTGATAGTGGATGAATCACACTACATGAAGTCCAGAAATGCAAGTCGCAGCAAGATTTTATTGCCAATAGTACAGAAAGCCAAACGAGCCATTCTTCTTACAGGAACTCCAGCTTTGGGAAGGCCTGAAGAGGTATTAAAATCACTATATTTTGGACTTTAAAAAACAAAAACAGAACATTGACTAAAACACCTGTTGTGAAATTTTAAATTAGATGCCTCAAATGCCAGAAGAGTACTTTGTGAATTTCTAGATGGCTCTTAATGATTAAATATATTTTTTACTATGACTTTTTATCTACTTACATGTGAACCTTAGCCATGCTTGTGAGTACCTGCTTTTAAAAAAGTTTTTGCCTTTATTGTAAGGCTCTCATATCTGATACAAATTTGTAAGTAACAGTTGTGTTCTTCCGGTTATTCTATGGCCTTAATCTTCATTCTCTTTAGTCTAGTCTACATTATAAGCTCCTTAGGATTGGAGTTGAATCAACTTTTTATCTTTTATTAAGATATATCTTATATTTTATATTTTATTACATAATCTCTTTAAGGTAGAATATTATGGGCAGACCAAATAGTGTATCTGCTGAGAATGCAGGAATAAGGTATTAGATGCCCCACTTAGCTTTTACTACTCTGAGAGGCAGGTGGGGTAAGGAGTGCTTTAAAGCACTGGGAAGAAGAAATAGTGGGTGAACCTCTTATGAGTCTGTAAGGATCACTGTAACCCAGGGAAGTCCTGTCTATTAGAGCATATACCTTAAGCCCACCTATTTCAATTTTATTTATTTTTTTAAGATTTTATTTATTTTTAGAGAGAGGGAAAGGGAGGGAGAAAGAGAGGAAGAGAAACATCAGTGTGTGGTTGCCTCTTGCATGCCCCCTACTGGGGACCTGGCCCACAACTCAGGCATGTGCCCTGACTGGGAATCAAACCAATGACCATTTGATTTGCAGGCCAGCGCTCAATCCACTGAGCCACACCAGCTAGGGCTCAATTTTAAAAATATACCCTACAAACTCATCTAGTAGAAAAGCAGATGGATGGGCAGATGATAGGTAGATGTATATGTAGTATATGTAACGATACCAACATATATTAATATATATGTATGCACATATAGACCTACATTAAGTTATTAATTTTTGTAATCACATAAAAGCTAGAAACAGCCTATATACCCATTAAATAGAAACTGTTTAAGTATTTTGCATTACATCTACACAATGAGTTGCTGTATAGGCTTTAAACAGTGAGTAAAAATAAATGTATATGCACTTAGGTGATGTCTAAGACATGTTTGGGACAAATTCTAATTGTATAACATGATCCTATTTATATGAATAAAAGGGAATATATACATATACTTATCTATGTATATAAAAAATCCATAAATGTGTATTTAAGAAAAGAATGGCAATTATCCATAAAGAATAACATGGTAGGATTGGCGTGATGCAGGGGAAGGATGGACCCTGCGGAAGGAGAGGTAGATTTCCTTTTTAACTTTTTACCATTTTTTAGACTGGATTTATCATTGTAATAATAATTTAGTAAGAATGTTATAACACATTGAAAATACTTGTATTGTTTCAGCTTTTTATGCAGATTGAAGCTCTCTTTCCACAAAAATTTGGAACATGGACTGACTATGCCAAAAGATACTGTAATGCACATGTCAGGTATGACAACCTTTTTTCTATAAGCTTTAATCCTCTCATGTACTGTGAACATTAAGCTTTATTAGTGATTCCTTGTTCCAGTGTTTTGCAAATTTGTGGTGGCTCTGGATTAATTTCTTCAAGTAAATTTTTATGTGATAACCTATGTATTAAATAAATATATAATGGCAGTTTTTCTTTTTCTTTTTTACCTTCCACTTATTTTATTTTTGAAATGATTCATTTTTATTAAATAGATGAGCATGCACATTGTAGAAAAGTGACAGACAACCATTTCTTTTTTGTTGGCAGTTTCTTGTGTATTTCCTGGAGATACTCTATGCACAAAAAAATCACATAGAATTATATATGTATAATACTACTTAATTTTTATTTCTACATATTTAGTAGTAAAATGTATACACTGTTCTGCAGTTAGCTGTCTTCACCAAATTTGTATTGGAAATCCTTCCAATCTGTAACTGAAAGAGCTTTAGCATTCTTTTTTAATTTTTAATATTTTTTCCTTATTTAAATCATTTTTAATTTTTTAGTTACAGTTGACATGGAACATTATATTAATTTTATGACTACACCCCAGTGATTACACATTATATAACTTACTAAATGAACATCCTGATAAATGTTGTAACCATCTGACACCAGTTATTAGATTATTGGCTACACTTCCTATGATATACTTTACATCCCCATGACCATTCTCTAACAACCAGTTTGTACTTCTTTTTTTTTTAAGATTTTATTTATTCTTAGAGAGAAGGGAAGGGAGGGAGAAAAAGAAGGAGAGAAGCATCAGTGTGTGGTTGCCTCTTGTGCACCCCCATCTGGGGACCTGGCCCACAACCCAGGCACGTGCCCTGACTGGGAATCGAACTAGTGACTCTTTGGTTCACAGGCCAGCACTCAATCCACTGAGCCACACCAGCCAGGGCACTTTTGTACTTCTTAATCCTTTTACCTTTTTCACCCATCCCCCCTCACATCCGGCAACCATTAAAATTTTCTCTCTATGACTCTGTTTCTGTTCTGCTTATCCCTTTATTTTGTTTTCTTAGATTCAGTTATTGATAGATATGTATTTATGGCCATTTTATTGTTCGTATTTTTGGTCTTCTTAAAGAAGACACTTTAACATTTCATGTAACACTAGTTTGGTGGTGATGAACTCCTTTAGCTGTTTCTTGTCTGGGAAGCTCTTCATCTGTCCTTAAATGCTAGCTTTGCCAGATAGCATAATCTTGGCTTATAGGTCCTTGCTTTTCATCACTTTGGTATTTCTTGCCAATCCCTGCTGGCCTGCAAAGTTTCTGTTGAGAAATCAGCCGACAGTTTCATAGGAGCTCCCTCGTAGGTAACTAACTGCAGTTCTCTTACTGATTTTAAGATTCTCTGTTTGGCTTTAACCTTTTGTATTTTAATTATGATGTGTCATGGTATGGACCTCTTTGGGTTCTTCTTGTTTGTGATTCACTTTGCTTCCTGGACTTTGATGTCTATTTTCTTTACTAGGTTAGGGAAGTTTTTTGTAATTATATTTTCAAATAGGTTTTCAATTTCTTATTCTTTCTTTTCTTCTTCCAGCGTTCCCATGATATAAATGTTGGTGTGTTTGAAGCTGCCCCATAGGTTTCTTACATTATCTTCATTTTTTTTAAATTCTTTTTTCTTTTTATGTTCTGATTGGGTGGAGGTTTTTTTGTTTTGTTTTATTTTGTTGCTTCCTTTTATTCCAGATTGTTGATTTGATTCTTGGCTCCATCTACTTTACTGTTGATTCCCAGTAAATTATTCTTCATTTCAGTTAATGTATCCTTCTTTTCTGACTGGTTCTTTTTTTATGGTTTCCATGTTCTTGTTTATGATGTTGAAGTTCTTACTAAGTTCATTGAACATTCTTATAACCAGTGTTTTGAATTCTGCATCTAGTAGATTGTTTGTCTCCTTTTTGTTTAATTCTTTTTGATTTCGTTCTGTTCTTTCTTTGGGACATGTTTCTTTGTCTCTTCATTTTGTCTGTCTCCCTGTGTTGGTTTCTATGTAATTAAAGCTGCTGTGTCTCCCAGGCCTTGTAGAGCAACATTATATAGTAGGTGTCCTATAGGATCTAGTGGCACAGCCTTCTTCTTCACCCAAGCTGGGCACTCCAGGTACACCAAAGTGTGGGCTGTGTATAACCTCTTGTTGTGATTGAGCCTTGATTGCTGTTGGCACCTCAAAGGGAGGGATTTACCCCCAGGTAGAACAGCTGCAAGGACCAGCTACAACCACCAACTACCATGGAAAATTAGATGTGCAGGACTCTGGTTCACTGATTCTGCCCCTGAGTGTGTCACTTGTGGAGGTGGTTGGGTTAATTAGTGCTTTGATGTGGTCTGAAGCTATTCACCAGGTGCAATATCTCTGGGAGCTTGCAGGAGCTATAGGCCAAGGTCAACTGCCTGTGTTCTGCCTGGAGCCACATAATATGAGCTACAAAGTAAACTTCAGGTGGCTGTTACTTGTGCTGGGCTTGGAGGTGCCCAGGAGAGGCCAAGTTGTGAACCAAGGCCAGCTGCTGCTAGTGCCGGGCCTGTGGCCACTTAGTTGGAGATACAGGGTACACTGAGGCCAGATGCTGCTTGTTTGAGAGATTTTACAAAAATCTGAAGCATGAGCCAAAATGGCCATTTATATGGGATAGCCACTGGAAACAGCCTGGGTAGGCTTGCAAGTTGGGTGATACAAGGTCTCAAGGAATCCCCAGGGAGTGGAAATGGTCATGAGCCAGGTTGATGCAGCCTGCCTACTGGCTTTGTTGGAGAGCTCATAAAAGGAACAATAACTTCTGCTAGCACTTTTCCATGATAGAAAGCTTGCCCCTCAACCTGTCGCCCTGATGCTAGACAATTCTGTTCAACCCAGTAGGTACCTGGACCTTTCAAGCTGCTGTGTGGAGATCAGAGGGAGTGAGTCAGAATATGTTCATGTACAGGCCCTTTAAGACGAACTGCCTGGGACCTTAGAAGCTGTCTCACTCAGCCACAATCCACCCTGGGTTTTACAGCCAGAAGGTATAGGGACTTCTCTTCCTGGTACCGTAACCCTGGGCTGGGAGGGCCTGGTGTGGGGCTGGGACCCCTTGCTCTTCAGAGTGGACCTTCACAGCTGTGATATCACACCCAACTTTTATCTGCTGCATATGGGTGTGGGACCAGCCTTCTCTGCATCTCCACCCCTCCTACCAGTCTCTAAGCAGCTCTTTCTTTAAATCCCTAGTTGTAGGACTTCCATTCCACTGGGTTTCAGGTTGTTTTGAATGATAGTTGTTCTGTAGTTTAGTTGTAATTTTGACATGGTTGTGGGAGGATGAGAGTACCATGTTTACCTACACTGCCATCTTGACCAGAAGTTGACATTTCTTTCAAATGCTGCATGTGATCCACTGTTTGAATGCACTGTGATTTGTTTACCTAGCCTTTTGCTAATAGGCATTTGTTTGTGGTATCTAGCTGTTGCAAACAATGCAGCAGTAGATATTATTGCACATGGTGAAGGGTAGGATAGCAGCAAAGAACATGCAAGACAAGATGTACACCACCTGTGTTTTATTTTCACATCCAGCATTTACTAGATGTCTCATGTTAGGAAAGTAACTTTACCTCCCTATACTTAGATTCCTCAGCTCTAAAAACAGAATAATTATTTCTGCCTCTGAGAGTTAGTGTGAGACTGACATGAGCTAATATTTATAGAGGCCTTGAACAGTGACTGGCAAACAGCACTCAATAATTATTGGCTATTTTAATATTTTATATCACACACACAAATAAATCTGTAAGATAACTGTATAGAAGTAGAATGTGCATTTTAATATTTTATAGATTTTTACAAATTATACTACACAGAAGTTATACAAATTGATATTCCCACCAGCAGTAAGATTGTCTCTTTCCCCACACTTTGCCAACATGTTCTAATATAAATTATTTTATTCTTATTAATGTGATCCGATAGTAGTTTTAATACACATTTGTCTTCTTATGTTATTAAATGCACTCAAACATTTTCTCATACATGTAAGAATCATTTGTGCTTTTTTCCAGTCAGTTGTTCAAGTCCTTTGCCCTTCATTCTACTAAATTTATTGGCTTTTTTTCTTATTGATATAATGGAAATCTTTATATAATATGAAATAAACTTTCTGAGGTGAATGCTCAGACAAGATAGTACAACCAAAAAAAAAACACAAGGACCTTTTCTACTTAAGACCATAAAATGTAGCCCTGGCTGGTGTAGCTCAGTGTATTGAGTGTCAGCCTGTGAAATGAAAAGTCACCTCTTCAATTACCAGTCAAGGTACATGCCTAGGTAGTGGGCCAGGTCCCCCCAGTTTAGGGTGTGCGAGAGGCAGCCAACCCATCTGTGTATCTCTTGCACATCAATGTTTCTCTCCTTTTCTTTGACCTTCCCCTCTCTCTAAATAAATAAAATCTTTTTTTTAAAAAGCCTGCAAATGTAGAAATCTAAACAAGGACCATTTCTAGTTGAGACTATAAATGTAAAAATCTTCAACATTAGTATAATCCAGAAACTGATTAAAAGGCCTAACATATTAACCGTATGCAAATGGATTCTTATGAGAAATGCAAGCACACTTTAATATTAGGTAATATATTAATATAATTAGCCATGTTAATAACACAAGGAAAATCTTTATCATCTCCATGTATGCTGAGAAATGTTTGATAATATTCAGCATCCATCCTTGATTATGTATAGTCTTTAATAAATTTAACATGTATATATATGTGTGATTATAACTATATATACACAGATATACAATATATATGTTTGTGTGTATGTGCTTTAAGTCCAAAGCCACCATCACATGAAACAGTAAAATCAAGGCCAGGATGTTCCCTGTCACCACAGTTTACCTTTATTCTGGAGACACTAATCAGTTCAATTACTCAAAAGTAAAGTGAGGTAAATATTGGAAAGCAAAAGGCAAAATTATCAAT